CTTCCTGAGAAGGACACAAACCCTAACAAATTTCAAAGAAACAACTAACAACGGAGCCCTCCCGCCGGTCCTTGTCAGGATACACCGCGCCCCATGGCCCTAGGACCACCCAAAACGAGGCGGACTTGCCGCGGAGCCTACGAGAGGCACAAATCCTAGCTTTTTTGGAGGAGGTGCCGGCTGCGTGGTGGTCAAGACATAAATTTGGTTGTAACTCGGCAAGTACCCAGTTAAAGCCGATCAATAAAGTAAAATAAGTTCTAATTTAATCTTATTTCAAAAAAAAAGTTCTAATTTAATCCTGGACGTGACAACTGACAACATGCACAATTAGGAAAGTTTGTTTTGAGAATCACGATTAGCAAAGTTTGACAGAACAAATCATGCATTAGATGGACGTCAATACAAACTATACTACTATAGTATAGTTGGCGCTTCCCGTAAAAAAAAAGTATAGTTGGCGCTTGGCCGCCGGCGACGTGCATGACTCTGTCTCTGCCGGTCTGCCCGTTGTACGTACGGTGCAAGACTACAATAAGTACCCCACTTTTTGTACAATCTAGTATCAAGTATCAATGATCGATTCCTATGGCGTCGTGGGCGGACCTCCCGCCGGAGCTCCTAGACCTCGTTGTCGCCGGCCTACCTAACCCCGCCGACCGTGCCCGCTCCCGCGCCGTGTGCCGTTCATGGCACTCCGCCGTGCGACGGCATGGCCCCCAGGCAGCCCAGCTACCATGGACGGTCTTCACTGATGGCGAAGTCGTCACACCCATCAACGGTCCCTCGGAACACTCCACCTTCATCCCCAAGAATTCACATCTCTCCGGCTCCGCCGACGAGTGGCTACTCTTCGGCGTCTACCACCGGACCCCCAAACTCATCAACAACTATGTTCTACACAATATATTCTCCGGAGAGCGTGTTTCTCTGACCGAGTTGGATGCCACCCTCCACTGCGCTTACCGCGTCAGCAAGTTCCGGATGCAGTCTACCGCCCACGACTTCATGGCAGTCATCACCACCAACAAGAACCATCCGCTCATCGTGATCCTGCCAGGAAAGAGTGTGTGGCTGCCAGAACCACGGGCAGTTCCATATGTTTATATCGTTGACATTGCCTTTTGTGGACACAAGCTCTATGGCATCAGCAAGGCGGAAGACCTCATCCCCTTTGACCTAGGGCTAGATGAAGAGGGAAGGCCCGTGGTCACCATTGCAAGACGTGTAATTCAACGACCACTTGATTACGATAGTTGGGATGATGATTATAGCGACAGTGATGATGATGATGGTGATGGTGATGACGACAACAGCGAAGAAGGCGATGATGATGAAGGCGATGATGACGAGGATGAGGAAGAGGTAGATATTGATGTGGTTGCAAATGATGAGGACGAGGGCGAGCAGAAGATGGAGGAGGAACAGGCCGCGGTAGACGTGACAGCCGAGGCTGATAGTTTGGTGGCCAATGATTTTCATGGGGAGAAGGGGTCAACAGTGCCAAATGATGATGATGGCCGAAGTAACTTCAATTATCGGAATGTCTCACATCATGGATTTATGCGCGGAAAAGAATACACTTGCTGGCACCTAGTCCAGTCACACGGGAAGCTGCTCATGGTGAAGCCACACATCCATATCTTTCCAGACTATTCCTCATCCATTCGCCAGGTTGATGTTTTCATAGCCGATGTTAAGACACGCAAATGGGTGCCCATGGCTAATGGGCTCGGTGGCGACCGAGCACTATTCATCGGCCAACACTTCTCCAAGTTTGTTTCTGCACCTTGTGGAGATATCAAGGAGGATGCCATCTATTTTCTCGAGTCGGGTGAGGTGTTCAATATGAAAACTCAGAGTGCTAACCCGGCGAGGTTTTACGAGCCTGACTACCTGGGATCGAATGTCATGTGGCTCTTCCCCCCGGAGTTGGTGCTTTAACAATATTTAGATTGTATTTACAGATTTTTTTTTCTTCCTACATATTCGTTCATATACGACAGTGGATTGGATTTAGTTATTCATACCTGATTCTACTTGCGTTACTTTGGAAACTAGAGTTCAACTGTTCCTCCACTGTCAATCTACAGCTGCTTGTTGGGTCTACTTGTGTACTGCATGGACTCCTTTGGCAGCCTCTATCCAGGAACAAATCAATCACATTTATCTCTTTCTGAAAGCCAGTTTTTGCTTGAGATTATCATTCTTGTCACATGGCTATTTGGAGCATGAGTGAATACATCTTCAAAGCCATCCAGACTAATTTATTTATGCACTAGTAGCGCAATGTTCGAAGAAATCAAATGGATTATTCAGGGAGCTATTTAAGGGGGAATGGTATAATTCCTTTGAGGCTTGGGTTCTTTCTTTCCGATAGTCCGTGCGGCATCTGTTGTTGTAATTTCTTTGTAACTGTGCTAGTGGTGTAGCTTAGCTCTACAGTTTCTTCTTTGTAATTGTACAGCTAGAAGCGAGCTTGCTTCAAAAGATCAAAACAAGAATGTCGAAACGTTCCAAAAGCATGCTGTTAACTGATGTTTTAGTTTCTTCCTACAGGCATGAGTTGTAAAGTGTTCAGGGATAACTGAAGGAGATAGCACGGCTACCACTAAATTACAGCTAACTACTCTAGGGAAATTACTTAGTTGATGCTTTTCTCTCCTACCCCTTCATCACGAACACAGTACGGCTTATATATATAGGCAGTTGCATCACCAAGATGTAAATAAGATATGATCATAGCGTATAACTACTTTGCATTAGCAAGATAATGATGACTTGTCAGCTGGGCTCCTCCTTGGATGAGTGAATGAGCTGTCTCAGTGTTGCCTTTTCTTCCTGTCTCCAGTTCTTGGCATAGCAAAACGGTAGATACCTAATTAAGTATCAACAAGAAAGTATCACCAGTAACAAATTATGAAGCCTCACACACTACCGGAACAGGGCAATACCCCGACGGCCAAATATATGCCGACGGCCCCCGTCAGTCTATACACCATGCTATGCCGACAACCAAGGCCAGGCCGTCGGGCTATCCTGAGGTATGCCGACGGCCCCCGTCGGCACAGAAAAGCCGTCGGCCTACCTCCGAGTATGCCTACAACTGCCGTCGGCATAGCTGTGGGACCGGCGACCCGGCCCGTGACGAGCGGCTAACGACGTCGGCTCTATGCCGACGGAAGAGACGGGCGGCCGTCGGCATAGCTATGCCGACGGCTTTGCCCACGTCACCGATCCGAGGTGCACCGACCAGCTACCAGGCCGTAGCATGCCGATAGCTTGCCGTCGGCATAGCTCTGGTCCACGCCAGTGATCCGCGACGCCTGCCACATCACCGATCCGTGGCGCGCCGACCAGCCGACAAGATATGCTTAGATTTTTTTAGTTCTCATATATAATTTTTAATGTTTTATGTATTATTATTTGATTAACTTACATGTAGCATGTGTACATATAAACATACATACATTATTTATCGATTTGGTGAATTTTTTCCATAGATTATGAATATATATGTAGTTTGTATTTTTTTCCGAGTATGTTAATAATGTGACCTCATGTTCTTTTGAATATAGGTCCTTATACTTTATTAAAATCAAAAACAACTATGTCGACAGAAGTGATGTGGCGGTTGCAAACGCCCGGCACGCGTCCTCGGAGTGTGACCCCCCTCACGTCCGGGGTGTGCTGCCCTCACGGATGGCGCTGTCGCCGGCACCTGGAGGGGGGAAATAGCCGCGTTGGGTCTATACGGAGGGGACATTGCTCCCAAGTGTTCCTATGGGCTGACCTATCACAACCGGGTGGAGAGGTCAAAGCCCGTCTGGGGAAAGTCAAAGGGCTAGATCTCGTGGTCAACTGCTCCAGTGTTAGTTGGGACGGGGGTCCTGGTGGTTTAGCAATGCCATCAGAGCGTCGTATTGGGCCCTCATACATGCCGTACGGTGTGATGGCATGTCTGAAGAGGCAGCACACGTCTCCGGGGTGTGGCCCCCTCACGGACGGCACCGCCGCCGACACCCGGAGGGGAGAAACGGCCGCATCGGGTCTACACGGAGGGGATCTTGCTGTGAGTTTGGCCCGGATGTTTCTCCCAAAGTGTTCCTATGGGCTGACCTAACACAACTGGGTGGAGAGGTCCACTGATCAAAGCCCGTTCGGTGAAAGTCAAAGGGCTAGATCTCGTGGTCAACCGCTCTACGGTTAGGCGGGACGGGGGCCCTGGGGGTAGCAATGCCACCGGAGCGTCGCACCGAGCCCTCATACATGCCGTACAGTGTGGTGGCATGTCAAAAGAGGCAACACGCGTCTCCAGGGTGTGGCCCCTCTAACAGACGGCGATGACACAGTAGTAAACATTCTGCGGTAATGGTGCGACGTGAATATTATTGAACACTCGGAGCGCGATAAAATCATGAGTTTTTTACACGACATGGGCACATGTGCTATAGGAATGATGGTAATTTTTCATAAATTTTGGTGATGCAGAAGTATATCTGAACACTGCCCTCTACGCGGATTGCTCTTCGCGTGTCTACGATTGTGGCCGGTGGCCTCCTGATACGTCTCCAACGTATCTATAATTTTTTATTGTTCCATGCTATTATATTATCTGTTTTGGATGTTTAATGGGCTTTACTATACACTTTTATATTATTTTTGGGACTAACCTATTAACCGGAGGCCCAGCCCAAATTGCTGCTTTTTGTCTGTTTCAGTGTTTCGCAGAAAAGGAATATCAAATGGAGTCCAAACGGAATGAAACCTTCGGGAGAGTTATTTTTGGAACAAACGCAATCCAGGAGACTTGGAGTAGACGTCAGGGAAACAACTAGGTGGCCACGAGGGTCCAGGGCGTGCCCTACCCCCCTGGGCGCGCCCCCACCCTCGTGGGCCCCTTGTGGCACCCCTAACTGACTTCTTTCGCCTATATATACTCATATACCCTAAAAACACCGAGGAACACAATAGATCGGGAGTTCCGCCGCTGCAAGCCTCTATAGCCACCAAAAACCAATCGGGACCCTGTTTTGGCACCCTGCCGGAGGGGGATCCCTCATCGGTGGCCATCTTCATCATACCGGCGCTCTCCATGACAAGGAGGGAGTAGTTCACCCTCGGGGCTGAGGGTATGTACCAGTAGCTATGTGTTTGATCTCTCTCTCTCTCTCTCTCATGTTCTTGATTCGACACGATCTTGATGTATCGCGAGCTTTGCTATTATAGTTGGATCTTATGATGTTTCTCCCCCTCTACTCTCTTGTAATGAATTGAGTTTTCCCTTTGAAGTTATCTTATCGGATTGAGTCTTTAAGGATTTGAGAACACTTTATGTATGTCTTGCATGTGCTTATCTGTGGTGACAATGGGATATTCACGTGATCTACTTGATGTATGTTTTGGTGATCAACTTGCGGGTTCCGTAACATTGTGAACTTATGCATAGGGGTTGGCACACGTTTTCGTCTTGACTCTCCGATAGAAACTTTGGGGCACTCTTTGAAGTACTTTGTGTTGGTTGAATAGATGAATCTGAGATTGTGTGATGCATATCGTATAATCATGCCCACAGATACTTGAGGTGACATTGGAGTATCTAGGTGACATTAGGGTTTTGGTTAATTTATGTTTTAAGGTGTCATTCTAGTATGAACTCTATGATAGATCGAATGGAAAGAATAGCTTCATGTTATTTTACTACGGACTCTTGAATAGATCGATCAGAAAGGATAACTTTGAGGTGGTTTCATACCCTACAATAATCTCTTCGTTTGTTCTACGCTATTAGTGACTTTGGAGTGACTCCTTGTTGCATGTTGAGGGATAGTTTTATGATCCAAGTATGTTATTATTGTTGAGAGAACTTGCACTAGTGAAAGTATGAACCCTAGGCCTTGTTTCCTAGCATTGCAATACCGTTTACGCTCACTTTTATCGCTTGCTACCTTGCTGTTTTTATATTTTCAGATTACAAATAACTATATCTACCATCCATATTGCACTTGTATCACCATCTCTTCGCCGAACTAGTGCACCTATACAATTTACCATTGCATTGGGTGTGTTGGGGACACAAGAGACTCTTTGTTATTTGGTTGCAGGGTTGTTTGAGAGAGACCATCTTCATCCCACGCCTCCCATGGATTGATAAACCTTAGGTCATCCACTTGAGGGAAATTTGCTACTGTCCTACAAACCTCTGCACTTGGAGGCCCAACAACGTATACAATAAGAAGGTTGCGTAGTAGACATCAAGCTCTTTTCTGGCGCCGTTGCCGGGGAGGTGAGTGCTTGAAAGTATATCTTTAGATCTTGCAATCAAATCTTTTAGTTTCTTGTTTTATCACTAGTTTAGTTTATAAAAGTAAACTATAAAAAATGAAATTAAGGGTGCCTCATATGCTTCGTCTTTTTAATATCTTTCATGAAAATAAGGATTTCGATAATTGTGCCAAAATGTTAGACAAAGAATGCATTAAAATGTTTGGCACTAAATCTTTGAATGATGAGCATGATTGCAATGTTGTTAGTACGAACTCTTTGAATATCCATAGTACTAATGATGATTGCACTAGTCATGATGAAAAGGTCTCTTATAAGCATGTCAATTTTTGTGGAGTGCATAGAGTTTGCAAGTACACACCAAATAGGGAAGATAGATTTTGCAAGAGGCATAAGTATTTAGAAACCAAATGGTTGCAAGAAAGGCTAGATGTTTGTGCTGAAAATTTAAATTTTCTTAATCATCCTTGTGAACTTTGCAATGAACGTGATCATTTAAATATCCAATGCAAATTGTTTCATGATCGTATCATGTCCAAAAATTGTGATGACTTGATTTCCCTTGCACATCATAATGAACTTAGTTTTCTTTTGGGTTATGAAGAAATGAAACGTATAACTAAGGATATGCCAGAATTTATCCTTGATAAAGTTCTTGA